CTTGGTCATCACATAATATGTTGAAGATCAGGGTGTCAAATGGTAAATTTTTATTCTTTTGGAAGCTGCTTTGATATGGCTACTTGGGTAGAGGTTGGGCCCTAAGAGGCCCGAGAAGATGATGTGGTCAGAGCTTCTCAAACTTTAACCTTTACTCAAGCCACTAGGGATCTCATCTGAACTACAGATGCTGATTCAGTAGGTCTGAATTTTCAGTGGGGCCAGAAATCTGCATTTGCAGCAAACTTCCAGGTGACTTCAGTACTGCTGGCATCTGCACTTCAGATAGCAAGGGTTTAGAGCACGAGGGATGGAAACTACCAAAGGAGCAGTGGGAGAGTGGATAGAGGGATGGGACTGACAGAGAGAGAAGAGGGGACACATGCAGGCTTCTGATAACGTAAGAGAGATTTGGAAGGCTATATTCTTCATAGTGTAGCATGTGTACCATCCCTTCTTCATGACTTCTAAAGCAGTCAGAAACGTCTCATAAATTCAAAACTATACAGTGCCATTTGATTTGGTTTTTCCTGGAGATTGGTGAAGAGGCTGATATTTGCACCTAGATTTATTAGGGGAAGGATTGAGCACACAAGGCAGAACCAAATATACAGAAAAATAGAAGAAGTAAGGATTTGGCAAGGGACTTTGTGCTCTGAAGGATCATGAAATTAGAGATTTGAGCAAAGTTTACCTAAATCTCTCAGGGACCAGGAGGCCCTAGCTGACATCTGGATTATAATAATGTAATAATCATGGTTAGTGCTTACCATATGGCAGACATTACACCTTATGTAAATTACCTCATTAATCCTCACAACTCAGTGACGTATCACTACATTTTATAAAGGAGTGAACTGAGGTTAATATTAATGACATGCTCAAAGCCATGGAGTCAAATAGGTTCCAAAGTGAGTATTTTAACCTTGGTCTTGCTGGATTAAAAGAGATTCCCATTCTTATTTACCAAATACCAGAAAGCTTAAAAGGAGTAGAGATAAAAAAAAAAGTGAAATATATAAGATAAAGAAAAGTTGAAAACAAAATGATTCAGAAATGACATAAAGCACTGATCTTCATATTGTTCTGATATTTTCCTACCTATATTTGTGTGGACATGAATGAGCTGACATTTTGAGTTTTGACAGACTGCAGACATATCATGCAGCAATACTTACTCGCATTACAGACTAATTTTAAAAGGTGAAATCTAGAGGTTAGACCTACACTGAAATAAAATTCCTAGGAGGATCTTTTTTCCACTAGCCTTAATCCCCTGGCACTGCTGACATTTAAGACCACCTTCTGGAAACTCCAGAGAGAGACAGCTTAGCCACATTCTTCTAGTTAGAATTGTGAGTATAAACTGCTTTGGGTACCCTTTCTACTTAATCCTTTTTAATTCTAGCCTTTCCTTTAGTTATCATTGAGCCATCACTATATTTGAAATGTATGATTTGGGGCCTATTTTTTCCACATTGCACATGTGACTCCTTTAGGCCATGAGAGGAGGGACTCACACTTTCCAATGAAGGAGGATTTTCTGACACTAAAGACACAATCTCTATCAGGAGTACACTGTGTTGGAAGGACTCCTAGCTACAACAGTTTTCAGACTGTTTACATTACAAAAAATAAATACACTGCAGAGAATACAATAGTGTTAGTCATCATTGTCAATCAACACCTACTGTGAAGGTGAAAACTGACAATACAGTACTCAAATTTGGGAAGGGGGTGTCTAAATAGGTAATTCTTAGACTTTTTCCATCTAGCTACAAGCATCTTCATTCAAATGCGCAAGGGCAAAAGGTGTCTATGAAAACTGTCTCTGTGAAAACTCACCAAGAAGTCCACACAGATGGCTTTCAACTAAATTTAAAAATGTGGAAAAAGCTTAGCTAACCAGCTCCAAGGACAGCAGTGGGGGGGGGTTACCAACTCCTTATGCCCCCTTCCCTCTCTACTCTCACCTCCTTGGTCTTTGTTCCAGTCAACATTTAAGTCATGATTCCACACTCAGCCCTGCAAGCTCCACCAAGCATAGGCTAAACCTGCTTATCCTACCAAAGTTTAGACTGTTTAGGGTAACCATTTCTGAGGCTTTCAGTGTTCCATTTTCAGTTTATATCCCAAGCACAGGGTACTCTGCAACAGTATAGAAAATGATGTATCATGCTGATGATATCCAAGGATAAATGAATTTCCACCAGGATGAGAATATGTTGGTAGGCATGCACTTGCTTCAGGGTAACCAGAAGTTTCAACTTGTAGAAACAAAGAGACAGAAAGATTAGAACTCAGTCATGATGTGCTTAAACCTGGTCATTTCTCCACATAGCTATAAATGAATACAAATAAATTGTAAGTGTGGAAGAAGATTTGTGCCTATAGATAACCATTTTTAAGGAAACAAATGCTTGAAAAAATGCAAGAGGCATTTAGGATTGGTCCTACTGGGAATATTCTAAATTTCCCATATATCTATGTCCTGGCCATCTGACTCACACTTCTTTAATTACAAAGAACAGATTTATTTTAAAACTAATCCCCCATAAAGAAGGGTATATAAGCATCTGGACCTGATTGGGTTATTGAGTAATCACACTCCTGTGATTTTTTTCCCCCAAGAACATGAAAAAAAATTTATGTCTTTTTCTCCCATTAATCAGCCTTTTCTCAGTTCATTTTCAGTGACCCTTTAGTGCATAGAGAGGAAGGTTTCCCTCCACTCCTAAGTTTGCTACAAACTTAAGAATAAATTACTTTTGTCTGCTTATGTTGTGCAAACTCTATAAATGATTAATAGAGGAATGGCACATTTTAGGAGAATTTTGCTTTTTGTTGTCAAATTGGCTTATTTTTCTAATTTTGGAAATAGAATAGAGACAATTTTGTAGGTAGTACATAGGAGGATGGAGTAATTCAGATAAGCAGCTGGGAACAAGCCAGAAAAAAACGAAGTAAACAAGTGTAGAGGAGTTGGAGGTGGGAGGGGGGAGGAGGAAGAAGCCTGAATTAAAGGGAATAATGATAAACATATTGGCTAGCTGGAAAGGGAACTAACTTATTAAAGAGAAGGTGATAGAACTCAGAAGAAAATAAAGATTTCTTTATAACTTTTAAAGCATAGTTAAGAAATTTTCCTGAAGATTACTTTTGTATGTACATTATAAACTCAGAAACATAAGTCCAGGTAAAAGAAAAATATCACAAGCTCGGTCACTCCTATTAATCATCCCGGTTTCTAAATTTTCCAGTGTTTGCTGAGGAAATGTTTTCAAGGAGAAGCACTTAAGCCTCTTTTTAGTTGGGGAGCCAAGAAGCCCACTGAAAGTTGGCGATTAGGGAGGTCTGTGTGCTCTAGGCCTGCTGTCCCTGGCCTCTTAGGGACTAGGCCACAGAGCTCCGCTGCCCCACCCCCACCCCGATTGTGGAAAAATTGTCTTGTGTGAAAGTTAGGAACACGGCGGCGACCTGTACACGAGCAAGCAAAAAGAAGCTTCGTCTGTTATTTACAGCAGCTCCCCATCGCTCTCATCACCACCTGAACTCCGTGGAATTGTAAACATAAGAAAACCTCAGGTTTTTGTTTCACATGGGGTTGGTTCTTATTTGACACTTGTTTCTTACACTCAAAATGTTGCTTCGTCCAAAATGTGATCAGCCTATGGAAATATGTGGTTAGAAGGGAAAGAATTATCAATGTATGAAATCCTGCAGCTTGAGAATGGTGTTTCATGGAAGGGATAGGGGTTTCTTCCATTCTTCAGCTCTTAACCACTATTTTGGGTGTACCAACAAGTTTTCCAGATGGAGAAAGACCTGGAAACATAACCCCTCCATGATTTAATAAATTCAATAAATTGTTTCTTTTATAGAAAAGATGGAAAGTATTCAAAGTGATACATGAGACAGATAACCTGCCAATTACACTCTAAACTCATCAATTACAGAACTGCAATTTTAATGTCAAGGATATCCTCACATATCCGGGGAAAATGGAGCATCTCCTTAAGGACCAGGACAATGTCCTATTGTGCTGAATCCTTAGCCCATAGGTGCTCAATAACTATTTGCAGATTAATGAGTTTCCCATTCAGGAAAAATATACACCACGTTTCTTATTGCAGGCCCTGGGCTAGGTCTTGCCAGGGAAAAGGACATCTTAATACCCAGGAGGGAATGAGATCCAGCTTGGCAGAACGCAAAGTGGAATGAATAACGGTTTTAGCCAACATGCAAAGGGCAGAGCAGCAGAGATGCACGTAAGGGTTACTTCACGGTTTGCAGGAGCTCTCCTTTTAGCGCCGCGTTCCGGGAGCAAACGCCCTTCATAGGGGGCGCAAACGCAGGCGAGCACAGAGAAGTGAAGCGGCAGCGAGCTTGGGGGAGAAGTCAAGAAATAGGAAAACTAGAGTGGGAGGAGGGGTCCTGGGCCCATCCTGGGTTTGAAAAGAGGATAAAATGCCTTTAGTCACTTTTCTCCTCCTTCCACCAAATCCCTCACTATGTGAAACTGGCTAGGGGGGGAGAGCGTTACATCACTGAGAAAGCGGACCTCTCCTTGTTCCAAGGGCCACAGCCTAGGACACCTAAGAATAACATCTAACGCCTTCTAGACCCACCTCTGCTCCCTAAGAAAGGGGGACCAACGTGACTGGGCGAGGGAGGCAGCGAGGAGACCCGGGAGCCAGCACAGCTGTGGACCCGGCGGGGGGGGGCCCGGGGCCAGGCAGCTTCGAGGAACTGCTGGGAGCAGCCACTCGGCAGCGGCGGGCTGCTCTGGGCTCCGCGCGCCGGCAGAGGCGGGGCAGGGGCGGAGCAGGCGCGAGACTCTGGCGCCTGGAACCCGAGCCGGACGCCGCCGCCGGGTGCGGACCCTCTTCCCCTCCCCGCTCGGCACCGCCTCCCGCAGCCCAGGGAGGGGCCGGGGCGGAGCGAGCCGGGCCGCACGGGGCGGAGCGGGCGCGGGCTCGGGCGCGGGCGCGGGCGCGGCCAGAGAGCGGCGCGGGCCGGGCGGCGAAGGTCCGCGGCGGGTTCTGTGTAGCTGCTGCTGCTGCTGCTGCTGCTGCCCACGCCCCGCACCCTGCCGGCCGCGTCCGAAGACTCACTTACCTTCGCGGCGCGGCGGGAGGCGCGCGGAGCCCCGAGGTAGCGAGTCCCCGCGCTCCGGCTCTCCGGACCCGCCTGGCGTCCTCGCCTGCGGCGGGACGGGCGGCAGCGGCGCCCGGGCATGGCTTCGGCGGGCAGCGGCGTGGAGGAGGTGCGCGTGTCGGTGCTGACCCCGCTGAAGCTGGTCGGGCTGGTGTGCATCTTCCTGGCGCTGTGTCTGGACCTGGGGGCCGTGCTGAGCCCAGCCTGGGTCACGGCTGACCACCAGTACTACCTGTCCCTGTGGGAGTCCTGCCGGAAACCCGCCAGCTTGGACATCTGGCACTGCGACTCCACGCTCAGCAGCGGTGAGGGCCCGGCGCGCCGCGACCCCTGCCTCCCACCCCACCCCGGGCCGCCCCGCGCCCCGCTGCCCGGACAGCCCCCGCCTCGCCCCACCTCCCCGAGCCCCCAGCCGCGGTCCGTCCCACCCCATCCTGGCCCTTCGCGGATCCTGGGGCTCCAGCCGCCTCCCTGCCGTCCACCCCCCACCCCCCATTCCTGGTCACTGAACCCAAAGCGACGTCCCACGCCCTCTCCTTCCTCCCGTGGCCATTCCTCCCGCTCTGGAGTAACACGTACGCTATTTTGGGTAATTGTTATCATTTAAGGCGACAACCATGTGGCTGTGTAAAAAATGCAACGGCTTCCACACCCCCGTGAAAAAAAGAAACAGGCAAAAACGCCCCAACTCCACCAAGATGCTGCGGGTTCTCTGCTCAGTCTTCCCCACTTTCTCCTCTTTCCCTTCCTCTCTCTCGAGGAGGAATTTGCCTAGATTTACCTCTTAGTGTTCACATTTCTGCCTGTTCTACTTTGCCTTATGTGAGTTCTCCCCCGATGAACTTCGATTTGGATTTTATTTCCTTAAATTGTTGAAGGATATGGAGAGTTGGTAGAGGGACAGGCTTACTCTCCTTTGTGGTCTTTGGTTGTGAGTTGCCCTTCCTTCTCCTCAACCCCAAGTATCTCTCCTCTCTGGCCAGACCTTTATTTCTTCTTGTTTTGCAAGAGCCTCTCACAGATGCTTGGAACTTTATAGCTTATTCAGCCAGCACTACAAGCTGCAAATGGATTCACATGGACAGAGCTAATGCCTGAATTGGATCTCGGAGTGGAAACAAAATCCTATAAAGCAGCGGCCCCCAATTTTTTTGGCACTAGGGTCCGGTTTCATGAAAGACAGGTTTTCCGAGGGGAGGAGAAGCTCAGGTGGCAATGCCCGCGATGGGGAGTGGAGCAGCTTTTTTGCACTATTCTTAAAACTTTTCTGTAAATTTTAAAGTATTTAAATTTTTTACTTAAAAAATATTGTTCACTAGTATAACGTACTTTTAGCATAATGCATTCAAACAAGTACTTGCCTTTCCTTTAAAGGAGAATGATAAAGTAGGATAAAAAGTCATTAGCTTTATGAAAACCACAGAATACCTAAAATTTATATTCCGTGAAAAAATACAATGAGAAAAAACAGATTTCATGTTTTAAATATAAAGCCATATCATACACTAAACATTCCATGATATTTGGTTATAGGTGGTGATGATTCTAAATAACATTTAGATCACATTTATAAATGGTGCTTTATTCTATCTAGTGTATATAGTATCATGATTGGTCAAGGAATATGGCTACTTTAAGACAAAGCCAATTATGTTAAAGTGCACACGTATACACAAATTCAGCCACACAAAAAAAATTGTGTGAAGCTGTATTAGAGTGAGACACAAGACGTAAATAACTGTCTTCTAGCACATCATTTTTTTAGCATCTAGTATTATTTTCATGGTGCCCAGGACTGAATCTTTATACAGTGGCTACATCTGGTAATATAATTCCCAGCTATAGAGCGGTTCTATAGAATTTACACCTCTGCCTTGTGCTTTCCCATCCCTGCTCTCCTTGTATAGGAGTATTCTCACAGAGAGAGGAAAGAAGTCCAAATATATCTTTTCTTTTCTATGAGAAGCAAAATGTTTTAAAACACTGTCAGCATCCATTAGCTTTCTGCACACCTTTTCTCTGATTAGGCATAGTAAGGTAATGATATTATTAATAACGTTCCAGAACAAAGGCTGTGTGAACCAAATCCTTCCCCCTTTCCAAGTTAATAAATCCTAGCTCAGCTTAGTCTTACAGAAAGGGAGCCCTCAAAGACAGACCAACACACAGAAAATGTACTTAGCTCTCCTATCCACAGAATATTATTAGATGCCACTTTTAGAGTTCTTCACAGAGGTAATTTTTAATTGATAGCAAAGCACACAATGTAGGAATGCAGATTTCAAGTATACATCAAAAGGTTAAGCAAATATATGCGAGAGAAAGAAGAAGAGAGAGAAGAGAAGGAGAAGAGAGGGAGGGAGAGAGAGAGAGAGGAGAGAGGAGAGAGAGAGAGAGAGAGAGAGAAGAGAGAGAGAGAGAGAGAGAGAGAGAGGAAGAGAGAGGAGGAGAGAGAGAGAGAGAGAGAGAGAAGAGGAAGAGAGAAGAGAGAGAGAGAGAGAGAGGAGAGAGAGGAAGAGAGAGAGAAGA